GAACAACAAACTGAAGGTTTGGGCCAACATGAGCAAACTCAACAAGCAAAAAGTCCAAAATTTGCACAAGAACGGCGGTGATGAGTAAGTGATCTTACATATCCCTAACTGTTTTTTTTTTTTTTCCATCATGTTCAGTTCACATACATACTTAATAAATTAGATTCATTTCATAAATGTGCAATGTTGACATTAACATTTTCTGTAATCACAATGCACAGGTTGTTAGTGTGGCGAGGGGACTCAAAGACTAAACATGTGTATTTTGATGACATCATACACCTCATCAAGGAAAAATCAATAACCAACAACGTATGGCAACTGTAAATGTGTACAAAACACACACACACACACACACACACAGAGAGTAAAGACACTGTAAATAATGTACTGCCACCCCTCCGGTTCTGCAGGTGATAGATGCTTATGGTGAAATTCTACTTGAACTACAAGGGCTAGTCAACCCAAGTTTGGAAGATTCATCATTCATCTTTACAAGCACATGTTTGGTAACCACTAGACTTTAATTTTGATTATGTTTCAATACATGTGGATGTTCTTCTCAGCATTACATGCTTACATTGTTAACTTAAATAATAGGCAGATGTGAATGTTAACAACAACATAAAATGACCTTTGAGAAGATTCACATTGACAGATGTGAACATTCACATCATTCGCATTGAAGATTATATGCTTATTATGTTGATAAACTTAAATGATACACACATGTGAACATTCGTATCAGTAATATAACTCAGTAACAGATGTGAACATTCACATCAGTAGCATTACTCACACTAACAGATGTGAACATTCACATCAGTAACATCACCCACCATTAGCAAATGGGAACATTCACACCAGTAATATCACTGACATTAACAGATGTGAACATTCACATCAGTAGCATTACTCACACTAACAGATGTGAACATTCACATCAGTAATATCACCCACCATTAGCAAATGTGAACATTCACACCAGTAATATCACTGACATTGACAGATGTGAACATTCACATCAGTAGTATCACTCACCATTAGGAAATGTGAACATTCACATCAGTAACATAACTCCCCATTAGCAGATGAACATTCAAATCAATAACACCAAACATTGATATAAATACTTGGTACATCATTGTATGCCCTTTGTGTGCAGAAAATCATTGAACAGTACCCCCCCCCCACAAGAGGAATAAACTAATTGATGTACACATCAAGGAGTATCAAGGCCAGAGATTCTTAATCTTCCCAATACACGACAACTTTCACTGGACAATTGTTGTGTACGACGTGAAAGAGAATGTATGGAGGCATTATAACTCACTGTGCCCAAGAGAAGGCATACATGACCCACATATTGACAAAGCACAAATACTGGTAAGTGGCTGACAAAAATAATACTTGTCGTGATGTGTAATATTTGAACTTGGACGTATGCCCTATGTTGGTTGGTGCCTAATATGAAATTTCATTATTGGCAGAGGGACTACATCACAGCTTTGGTGCACAACATTGGACCATCATCACCATTATGGACCAATTTATCAAGCCAACATACTTCGAAAACAATCATATCAGTGGACATCTATCCTCAGCAAGCATCAAATTCGTAAGCCTAAAATCGATTTCTACACATGTTCCACAACCTTTACCCACCTAAATTTCAAAATCTAACAAGAAGTTTGCATTTTCAGGGTGGATTGTGGGCCTGCAGTTTGTTACATCATGAGGGCGCATGTATATCGTGAAGACATTGTTGCCAGCCTAGATCGCTTTGAATGGTGTCAAATAAGAGACTCATTAGTACACCTTTTTCTGAACCACAGAAAGACAGTCCAATGTGAAAACCTATAAGTGGGGGGTGTCCACCTATCACTGTTACCCAAATCTGTTATCTACATTTACGACAATTTAGTTTCAATAGATTTTTCATATTGGAGCAGACTAGCTTAATTGTAAATCAAGTCTATATCACTGCTTGTACAGATATTTTCCAGTCAATATATGTATATGCATTTTCAGGCCTATTTTGCGTTGGTCATGCACATTGAGATTGTATTTCCTTTTCATTTTTTTGGATACACATGACATGATGTCAATGTTCACACCACATAATGATCGTACACTTTCTTCTATTTTAAACCACACTACATGGATGTGAATATTGCTTAAAGTGTTCATGTAACACAATATGACAGGTGTGAGTATGATATTTCTTAACACAAGTCAATATTCACATCTAACAATTTGATGATGTGAATATTCACATCATAACTTCTGATTATGCGAATGGCAACAATGATGTCATGAATATTCACATCTTATGAGTTGATGATGCGAATGGTTACATTGATGTAAACATTGATGTTAACAGTAACAACAATGTGAACATTCCCACCACAGAAATGTTTGAAAGTTGAACAATGTGAACATTCACATAATGTGATTATATTACATAAGTGTGAATGTTAACAGCATGCATTCATCCAAAACACAACCAACATAAATGTCAGATTGGTACCTTTAAAAAGTAAAAATAAAACACAAATCAAACACTAATGCATTATTATGTTTGCCAACGCAACGTAATCTTATTGCAACCCAATATTTCCCAACACAACACAATCTTATTAAAAAAATGAATATAAGAATCCAATGTAAAATACAATGTTGAAAGGAAAAAAGGTACATCTTATATCGGCTCCGTGCATGATTTTCGATTATGGCTCCCCAACTTATCACATCTCCCGCACCTTATTTGCTTCAGTTTCTCACCCCTTGATGGGATCCTATTCTTCTTCGGCCTTCCGGGTGGTCTTTTCACGGTAGGCGGGTATATAGTAAAGTCCGTGGGATCAAAAGGCGGCTTCTCCACCGATGATATAGGGAATATGGCTCCCGAATAGGCTGCACGATATGTCTCTACATGAAAGTAATGTTCTACACAATCATTGAGATTGTAGCGGCTCTTTTGAATGGCAATAACAGCATGGTCACACGGGAATCCGTTGATTTGCCATTTGAAGCATGAACATGTACGCCTCGCAACATCAACTGTAACCGATGGTATCGAATGAACTTCAAACACATCCTCGTTGGCTTTGCTAACTTGCCAAGACTTGCTGTCATTGAACGAATCCATAAGCCTTGTTTCGAATGTCGGACAAATAATCTCATTCCATTTGTTTGCTTGGTCACGCCGTGCAGACATTTGCCGCATCAACTGAGTACGAATTTTGTCCACCATTTGAGTGATAGGAAGATTACGTGCTTCTTTAATCCAGTTATTAAATGACTCCGCCGCATTGGATGTCATTTCCCCATAACGCATGCCCCTGCACAGTATATCACAAACATTGTACAATACGGAATTTAACAGGCCTGACCATTCACGTTGACAGATGTGAACGTTCACAGTACTGCCATTAGTATACACTGATGTGAACATTCACATCATGGTATAATAATGTGAATGTTCACATCTGCTACCATGTTTATATAATGTGAATGTTCACATTATATGCTTATTACGTTGTCAACTTAAATGATAGACAGATGTGAATGTTAACAACAACAACAAAATATGACACGTGTCAACATTCAAATCTGTAATACATTGCATGGCTATTTGACAAATTAACAGATGTGAACATGACATCAGTCATCATTAGCAGATGTGAACATTCACATCATTTACATTGAAGATAAAACACAATTCGAAGATTGTCACCATTCTAAACTGAAAATTCACATCACTACCATTGTAAACTTCAAAAATGGAACACCTTAGGAAACTATTATTACCTGAAGTATGAATTTGCCCAGTGCTCAGGTGCTAAGTCCTTGAAAAAAATATGAGCTCGTTGTTTACCCTCCTCTTTTAATTTTGCAAGCTTTTCATGGAACCCTACCACAGTTGGCTCGTAGGCACAGTCACCCAAACTCCTTACTAGGTGATCCCTGAATCCATTATCAATTCCTTTCATCCAGTCTCTTAAATTGCTCTTCAAGTGTTGTAAGCAATAACCGTGATGAGCCGATGGGAACACCTTTGGCATAGCTTCTAACAGACCAAGATTACGATCCGAAATAAAAGTAATATGGCGCTTCCCATCAACAACCTTCCCAAGTTCATGCAAGAACCACGACCAATTAGCCGTGGTCTCCGAATCAACAATTGCAAATGCAACAGGAAATAGACCTACAACACAACACCAATACACAACTGTTCACAATATTCCAAAGTGAATAGAAAAACAGTATAAACGAAACAGGTCATGTGAATGTTCATATGTACATTGCCCTCTTTACTATTGATGTTTTCGGATTCAGGTTCATAAACATCAACGAAGGTTCATAAACATCAACGATGTGAACATTCACATTAATGACCATTAATAATTCATTGTTGATTGTTGAGTCACTGACAAGGTTAACATTCACAGTACTGTTCATTAATAAATCAACTAACATTAGTATACACTGATGTGAACATTCACATCAGTCTGCAATAATGTGAATGTTCACATTTCTGTCATTAGCATACAAAGATGTGAACATTCACATCAGTGCATACTAATGTCAATGTTCACATTACTTATAATTTAGCAATCACTCTTTCGTCCAGACTACGCTGCTCAGAGTGAATATTGACATGAATAGACAAGTAAAAAAAACTTCTAACCATTGTTCCCGTCTTTCGCTGTTGCCGCAAGTAGCTGACCTTTGTACTTTCCTTTGAGGAATGTTCCATCCAGGAATAATAAAGGCCGACAAGCATTGAACCTAGAAATACATGCAGCGAATGACACGAAGAAGCGACAAAACTGTTGACTACTCGCATCATAGTCAATATTGACATAACTCCCCGGATTGTACCGCATCACGGCATCCGAATACCACCGCAACTGGTCAAACGATAACGAGTGATCTCCATGAATACCAGCCTTTACTTTCTCCACACCCAACCATACCACATGGTAACTCACATCTAGCCCATAATCCCTCTTCAAAATAGTCACCACTTCACACGGCCGAGTCAACGGCTTGTCCCTCACAATTTCAGATATGGTACTCGACACCAAATCCGAACTAACTCGCGGATTCTTCGATGTTCGGACATCCGTACCACAAGTATGCACATCACTAAACCTCTTGATGTAGAAAAAATCATTTGCTCGTTGTGCTCTACAATGTATAGCCCACAAGCACCCCCTCTCCTCCCGCATCGCACACATAGCAATAACTCTTGTTGTCTCGTTCTTCACGTATGTGAACTTAAACCCACATTGGATGGCATACTTACATAAAACGTCACGAAATTCTTATGCACTGCCAACAAACCGTTGTCCTATATGCGTAATACCATTTGCCCGAGGGGCTGACAACAACACCTTCTCCTTATGGTGGCAAAATCTCCGTAGTGCATCAATTTCATCCTCAACCCCCACACGCAGCAATCCCAAACTACTTGACTGACCAATATCACCCTTCAACTCAACCACAACTTCTACATGTTGTACCCCCATTGATTTAGCAAGCAGTACCATGTTCTGAAATTCTTCCTCATTGTCCAAATGACACTTATTAATCCCAGGTAGTTTACAGAATAATGAAATGGAACCAGCAGACAACTCATCCCATTTCTCACACAAACACTCCACCAAACGAGAATAACACATTGCGCGGGCAACATTTATTATAGTTGTACTACAACCATATGTACACACCAATAGCATAAAGGTATCCATCTCCTGTAAAAACACAAAAACACAACAATGAACAGTATTGAGAATCGATATGAAAATTCACATTGTGCGAAAAATAGATGACTACGTGTACAGTTCAAGTGCTATATCCATAATTCACAATATGAAGATGTGAACATTCACATTACTATTAACAAGATGACAGCATTAAGCAAACATCAAAGTACAATGAGAACATCAACAATCTTCACATAATATAATGATGTGAACATTCACATCAGTGTATGATGATGTAAACATTCACATTGATATTAACAAGATGTTAACATTAAGCAAGCATCAAAGTAAAATGAGAACATTAACAATCTTCACATAATATTAACAATCTTCACAGAGCCTCATTAAGCAAACATCAATTTACAGTGAGAACATCCACATTCTTCACATATTCCACATTCACAAAATGTGAAGATTCACATTGATATATATACTGATAATCAAATCATCCACACAGAGCCTCATTACGCATGCATCAAAGTCAAATGAGAACTACACAATCTTCACATAATACGAATGAACTCCCCTCCACATAACCACGTAAAATGCATATAATTGAAAAAACAGAGCATTCAATCCATATAAATCCAAAAACAGAGCATCTGATCCATTATACGAATGAAACCATAAACTGAACATGTATTCATAACCAAATTGATACTAACCTTGATCATGCAATCCTACAATCGTACAGAAAGTTGAAAAAAACTGATTTGAACTAGTTATAATCCGGCAAATGTAACAACCGAACACCCTCCTCTTCGTCGTCTTCACTCGCAAACCACAGAACCAGACTACAACAGCAAGGATGAAACCCTGGCACAACCAATCCTTGTAACGACCATGCAAAACATAAACGTATCTCTCGGAATTGGATTGATGATGAAAAGCGTAAAATAGAAACTGCCAAACTGCATGAGCGAAGAAACAGACACCTATTACGTATTAACACTGTACATATATATACAGGGGCAAAATAGTCCAAGAAATTATATTAAATTAGAAAAATGGACCTTATGGAATATCCAGAAAAGTTTATGGGACTAAACTTGAGATAGTAAATCTAGTGATTGTTGATAATATATAATTTCTTGATTTATTCTATCAATTCTTTTTCTAATAAATTCTATATCCCTCGTAATATTAACACTAGTATTTAATACATTTTGTAGACAATTATGGCATTGTTGACAGTTTGTGATTAGTATTAATAATTGATTACAATCTAAATAAATTTATAAAATATGCTATGCAATTTTGAAGCAATAGTTACATATTATTATTTACAATATAATTATTCATAAGATAATGAATTAATTTGAAAAAATAGAGATTTTAAATTGAAATTTGAGTCAAACTATAGTAATGAAAAGTATAATTTATCAAAAATATTAATTGAAAATACAACAAAGCAAAATAATAGATGGACAATTCGATGAATTTCATTAAAATTAGCATTGGAATCAAATGAACAATGAATTGGATGATTTGGGCACCATTAATTGATTGGGCAATTGATTGAATCACTTTGCCACCGTTAATTGATTGGGCAATTGACTAATTGATTGAATTATTTTTGCACCACCAAATGATTTCCCAATCAATTGCCTATGTCCCAGTTGCCTAGAGAGTTGATTGGGTAATTGATTAGAATGGTTGGTCACAACATCGATAGTTTTTAGAATCGACTGAGAAAGTAAAATGGAACTGCCACTTATGCACGAGATTTAAAGATTGAGGAAATTTCATTTTATTCTTCAAATTATCACTCATTTTGTAATTTTACTAATGTTATTTTAATATTATTAATTTTATACTTAAACTGTTAGTGAGTTACGAAACTTGATAATTCGTTATAAATTTTAATGATTTTTATTATTATTTTGTTATTTTTACGCATTTTAATGTTAGCGTTATGTATTTTTTATGGATTCGATATGTAATTTTATAGTTCTATTATGCCATAGCTAATAGTTTTGGGAGTTAAGATGCACAAGCTATGTCAAAGTGTAATTCTTTATTTATAATTATGGTGAGTTACATTACTTAATGATCCATTACGTACTTTAATCATCTTGTTATATTTTTTAAAAAGAACTTTTACGCATATTAATAGTGGCTTTATTTATTTTTTATCAAAATTTTATAGTTCTATTACGCCGTACCTAGTGGTTTGTTTAGTTAAAACACACAAGTGATGTTATAGTATAGTTCATTACGACACTTAATGGTCTGTTACATTTGTTTTTGTTTTTGTTTTTTATTTAATTTTTATGCATATTAATGGTAGTGTTACGTATTTTTATAGATTAGTTATTGAAATTTTGTAGTTCTATTAGGGCTGTAAACGAGCTGAGCCTTTCCGAGGTCGAACTCGGTTCATTTGCTTATTAATTTTGAGCTTGGCTTGATAACTAACTGGGCTCGAGCTCAGCTCGACTTGGCTTAGCTTGGCTTGATAAGATTTTTCTAATATTATTTATATTATTTAAATAAAGCCAAACGAGCCGAACTTGACAAACAAAGCTTATTCGAGCATAAGCTTGACTCATTTACTAAACGAGCCTAATATTCGAGTTCAAATTCGGCTCGTTTACTAAACGTGTCATGACCCAAACCTGTCCCTATAGGTTTAGCGTCGTAACCGTCCAGTAATCCTAAGATTATCTACGGCCTTTGAAACAGAATCACAAAATAAGGGGCTAGCCAAAGCAAATACATAATAATAAGTGTCCAATGAGCTATGCGGATTTAAGTGAAACAGAATATTTAAAACTTTATATATGGTATAACCAAAAATCATTCTCACATTATACCCACACACTTAACTATAACATCTTAAATACAGCCAATGAAACAAAATCAAGCCTTATATACAGAGGCAACCAGAGCTTATGACATGCGACACTTTAGGAACCTCCACGTGAGGCATAATGGTTGGCTTGATAAAATGGAAGTCAGACAGAAGCCCTTAGGCCTGGTCCTACACACACTCACCTACATATACATATATACAAACAGTGAACTAAAGCCCAGTGAATAACATTAACGTAAAGAAGTTAGTGAACGAATTCTGAACATATCATATCTATAAAACAGATCATAACAGAATCAACTCTCATATCCAAACATAATAATGGTACATCTCATAGAACATATCATATTGTCATCCGACTAGAGTAATCGATTCCGAATACCGATTAAATGCATATCACCACAATGAAGTGGCTAACGAGATCTCGTAATCACATATATATCATGGACCCGCATTAACATGTCGTCCCCCATGACTTGGGACTATCTATGGATGCTATAATATATTTCAAACATAGGACATTCGTTCACATAAACAAATATCATTTCAGAAATTATAACTTATCAAATCACATTTGGAACATAATTCATATGAACACATCTTTACAATAACATTACTTACAGTGGGCATCCGGAAACGGTCAATCAATCTTTGAACGTTGACCTACAAACACAAAAGTGCATAACACAAACATATCTTATCATTACACATGTACTCGGCCATTACGGCTTAGCTTTCTTTACATGAGTTTCTTATTCAGTCCATTCTCATAACTTATACATGTAAATCATATTCTCGGATCTCAAATTTGTTTTTTGATTCAATTACTCATGTCATTTATTAGCTTATTACTCTTTAATGACTCATAATTCATGTCTAAATATGCTCAGAAAAGGATGAGGACAAAAATATGAATATTGAATGTCTTCCAAAAATATGCTAAATTTGGCTTGGTTGCTCGAGTGCACCTTTGGTCGCTCGAGCGGACTACTCTGCCTGCAAAAGTATTGGATGGTCTCGTTCTATACTCGAGCCATAACTCCTATGCTCGAGCGGTCCCATAATACACAAAAGGTTTGCTCGAGCCACCAAGTGGTTGCTCGAGTGGTCTGTAATAGACTGCAAAACTACTAGATACTCGAAATGTTCGCTCGAGCTGCAAATCCTTCAATCGAGTGACCTCCAAAAATTTTGGGTTTTCAAAACAGGGTTTTAAGCTTCTAAAATGCAAATTCAAAGGCAAAAGTCATGCTTGGCTTGTCTTTAAAGCTTGAAAACTTTTCCATAAACATGAATACATGATTCTTTACAAACCCTTTGCCCAAAACTCATGAATTTAACCAAAATTGGGCTCAAAACTTCTATGCATGTGTAGACACCCCATTTTCGACTACCCTTACGACTTGGGCGCCACCGAGTGATCACCCGATGATGAATTTATATATGCTTGTCAAATGCTCGAATTCCTCAGTAGAAAGCCTCAACTTTGAGCCTTAAAAACATGCTAACTTTGCATCAATTTTTAGACCAAAACAATAGCTTTTCAAGCTTGATTGCAGGCCCACTAATGGTGTACAATCGGCCCTTATTAGTGGCCTACCGGCCACTTATGCAAAAATCAGATATTTTTGGTTAACTGTCTCCACAGATGCATACACCATACCAGCTGTATTTGTTTGGATATTTCTAAGAGTCTTTCATATATTTTTATATATAGATGACCCACTCTTATGATATAGGGTTAGAAAAATTTTGTGGAGCAAAAGTTTGAAAAATATTTCTCTCTCTACATTTCTCTTTCTCTCTTGCACCTTACCTACTCTTGACCTACACTCTCTAAACCAAACTTGGAGGGTTCTTTGCTGAGGTGTTTAAGCTTGCATCTTAGCTCTTAAGGGTGTGAATTGGTGGTTTATAATTCAAAAGGGATACTCCTCTTCAAGAGGTATAATTCATAGCTTTGTTTCCCTTATTTATCTACTGTATTTATTGCTATTTTTGGGCTGTTTTTCACCTATATTTTTGGGTTGAAACTTGTGGTTTAAGCCATTAAAGGAAGAGGGTGGACTACTATTCTTTGAGACTTGTTTCCCAGGATTTTGCCCTTGTGTTTCCCTTCCTTTCATCAACTTTTCTTTTTTTAAAACTTTTTACCACTGAATGTCAGAGTTTTTCAGATGCTAAAAATCATGTTTTGAAATTCCAAAAATAAAGAGGGTAGCCTCTCCTCCTTGTGCTTGTTTACTAGCTTAATTGCTCTTTTTTTTTAGCTTAATTTTTTAGCTGTTTTTACCTTGATTCTAGCATTGTTTTTAGGACTGATTTTAGGTGTTAGTTTCCTTTATGCTTTGCATAGTATGCTTGTAGTGTTATGGTCCTCATAAGTTTAGTGTTTTAGGTACTAGACACCAACCTACTTGAGTTGATAGCATTTATTTAGTGTTTTCCATACTTGTGATCATCTTTAATCACCTCTGCACCTCTTTCATTTCTTGGTTCTTTTTCTTGCCTTGAGAATCGTTTCAACCGATTGATTGTTTAAGCTTGAGATATAGATCATTGTGCTTAATGGTTTAATCTCCTCGGAGATTCATTACCAATGGCATGACATCTCTCTCATGCACAAAACAACCATTTGTTTGATACTTCTCTTCATTAGTGGACTCAATTTTCATTATTAGACTTAATTGACTAATGAATGGAAAGGTAATTAATATGAAATAATAAAATTGGGGCTAAAATGGAATAAGATAATAATATGGTTTGGGGTATAACTGGACGTTAGTTAAACCCATTGAGTCTTAGTCCATTTCATACTTATTAGTGATGATAATGGTTTGAGAGTCAAATGTAAATTGCTTCCCTTGATCCATTTCATGATAGGAAGGAGGTTTTGTTGGTCATTTGGTTTCCCTCATTGAGCTTTTGTCCAATCAAACCATAGATCATCATGCAATAACTTTGCAATTGTTGATGATTTGTGAATCGATTTTATCCCTCATTTGAGCAATTTCATGATAAGGATAGGCAGAGAGGATGAATATCCCCTGGGAACACCTTGTTTCAGCTATGTTCATTTTCTGTTGCAGCAGGGCCATATTTACATTAGTGGCCGGCCGGCCACTATTTGCAGTCGGCTGTCCACAACTTCTGGCTGGCCGGCCACTTTTGTGTCAACAGGCAGTGTTGTTTTCTTGCAAGGCAGAGCAAAAGTAGAGGCAAAACAAGAGCTTTTTCTGCAGGTAGAACAGTCATGGCAGCAAAACAGAAGTGTTTCCGGGAGGATGTTTAAGTTGGCATGCACGGTTCACTACCCCGCTCGAGGTTAATTAGTTGTTAATGTGTTAATTAAATTAGTGAATTCCCACGTGTAATAATTAGTGAATTCCCATTTGTAACTAATTAGTTAGTGTAATTAATTAGTTAATTTCAATTGTAATAACTAGCTAGTATAGTTAATTATTTCCATTTGGTTTGTAATAGTTAGTTAATTCGTAGTAATTAGCTAGGACATCCATTCAGACCCTCCTGCGCGAGAGCAAAAATATAATAATGCGTATGTCTTTCAACCCCACTTCTTTCTTCCTTTTATTTACTTGTTTATGATAGATAGCATAGAGCATCATGTTTTAATTAGCATTTTCCATTACTTGCATTCATTTGTCTTGCATGCATTAGGCTCGATGCATCATTCTAACTCACATTGTTATCTAAATACTTCTTTGAAAATGTGCTCAAACCACATGCTATCAAATCGATTCTCATGCCATGCTAGTAGCCGAGCCTATTAATTGCATATTGCATATGTTGCATTAGTCAAGTTGCATTAGTTAGGGTCAAGCATTTTTCTAACTATTTTGTTTTTTTTGGCTTGCCCTAGAGTACTAGGTGAGCACTTATTGCTTTAGCATATCGCATGTGTGTGATTGTTGTCATATCAAGCATATTTTTCATGAGGCTAAGTGCTTAATTGATATACTTGTTTGAATGCCTATGGATGAAGGCTAGTTACTCAAATTGGGATGATTTGATAAATGTACATACGAGCCCACTTTTTCAAGTGGTACGTATTCAAACCTTTTTTTCAAAACAAACATGAAATCCAACTGTTCTAGTTTTTTCAAATTAGTCTATACTTGTGTGCAACACATAGTAAGGTTAGCCTAATAATCGGAACAAGAGCATATAATGTAAATAAGAATCACATCATGATTAGTAGAGGCCGATCTTTGATCGCGCGAGCGGGGGTGCTCAATTCATGACCTTCCCCTCTCGTACCTAAATTCCCAAGCCGAGACACTTTGGTGATGACGGACTAATAGCCATTGGCACGAGTCTTGGGTTTCTTAAATTTTTTAAAAAAATTTAGATGGCGATTTTGTAATCTGGCAAAGCAGTCCATTTTTTGCATTTTGATTCAAAATCAATTTTCCAAAAGAATTGTCGAAATTGGACTCATTTGTGTTTATCTATTTCACATTGCACTTGAGGAATCAGATTCAGAACCATGAGAGTCCGAACTGTAGGGCTAGTCGTATCTGAAAGGGGCATGAAAAGCAAGCTACAACATGTAAGTTTTATAAAACCTTTTTCTCAAATCCCATGTTTTCACAAACTTGAGCTCAAAAGTTCCATGCATGTGGGAAATTCCTCTTCAAAACATGAATTTAAATGGTAAAACAAGACGATTCAATCATAAATGAGCCGAATAACTTACAATAATAATTTAGATGCTCAAAATCAAACTTAACATGACAAGGTTCAATATGCATGTAGGATTGATTCTTTTCAAAACTTCTTCAAACATGGAATTTGCTTTCAAAGCTTGATCTAATATGCATGCATGTTAGTTTCATGGTCCCATGGTCCAAACTCAACATAATGATAGAGCTTATGATCAAAATGATGATTAACACTCATGAATGCATGCATGTGTGAATTGAAACTCAATTCTACATTCTAAGCTCATAATATGCAATTAAATTCTTCATGTATTCTCATGTTTGATGATATAAGTTCATAATTTATGAGTTGAATTCTTACCTAGAGTCTCCAAATTCTCTTGTTCTTGTACAATCTTGAACTTACAAACAATGATCCTCAAGTTCTCTTTCACAATCTACACTTTCTCTCTCTAAAAGTGCACTCTCTCTTTCTCTCTCTCTCTCTCTCTCTCTCAAACATAATCTCAGATTTTAGGAGTTCAAAATGATGAAGGGATGAGTTCAAATGAGCTTAAAGGCCCACTTATATAGTTGTAATGCCATAATACATTAATTGGAACCTTAGGCTTGCCAAACACAACTTAATTAATCGGATTGAATCAGTTTTTAATAAAATTTGCCATATAATTCTAAAATTCCAAATAACATATTGATGTAACCAATTTCAGTTTCAGATGCCGATAAGGCTTTCAATTTTCAGATCAAAGCAGAATTCTAGACAGATAGTTCTACGAGTAACAAATAGAAAGTCAAATAACATAACAAATACACAATTAGCACATAATTCCATTCTAAACACTTAGTTAGCATTCTTAATTATAGATTAGTAGCTAATTACAGTTTGGGGTTGTTACAAAAGACATCAGAGAAGTGTTTGTGAAGGTTATAGACCTGATGGGGCCGATTGAGGGCCGTCTCACCTATCATGTTCGAACCCCGTCTGGAAATCCCAAGGGTACGCTCAATTTCATGTATGAGTAGGTAGGTGAGCAAGTTGCCGGAGCGGTGATGACTCCACCTCCTCATCCGCTGCCTGCCTTCACTGCTCGTTATCCTCTTTCTCCTCCTCCATCGCCATATGGGGCAGCAGCAGCAACTGGGTAATATCTGCCATATCCTTCTCCAACCCCGGTGATGGTGATGGGACCACTACCACCGCCACCGGGTAGTTACAGATACCCACCACCACCTCCTTAACTTGGGTATGGATATGTGTACGGGTACGGATACAGCCCGTACCATCCGGTGCAAGTGCAAAGACAGTCTGAGCGTGTAAACAACTTGGAGAGCTTTTGACGATGGCTGGACAGAGTCCTTGTCGGAGCGACAATTACTGAAATCCTCAATAATGTTTCACTACCAGATGATCTCGGGGTTTGAGAGACTCTCTTTCATATGGGTTACTGATTACAAGCGTTTTTACTTTTATGAGTTATTTTATTTTGAACAAAGAAATTTTTTTTTTTTTGATCAACAAAGGAAAACTTTATTGATGATAAAGCTATAGGATACAAAGAGCTTACATGAAAAAAGAAGGGAGGTGCAAAGAGCATCAAAGCTAGACTCAAAGATCCTAACTAGGTTGGCATCGAAGAGCAAGCCCTATCATATGCCAACACACAGCCCAGGATTGGCGACCGACCAATCAAACAACCAGAAAAGAACAAGAAGAAAAAAAAAACAGAATAGCCCCTAAAGCATTCTAGCCCCCTGACTGTACATAACCACCCAACACCAAGAATAACTCCACAGCAAAAAGACCTAATAGTAGCTATCAGCAACATCATAGAGGTTAAAACCCACGACTGCTACAGCTACTACCTAACTAACAGCAACAGCTGGACTTCCCCTTGCAAGCACAATAATTAATTAATTAAAATTGAGGAAGACCTACTTAACCAACAGCAGCAGCTGGACTTCCCCTTGCAAGCACAATAATTAATTAATTAAAATTGAGGAAGACCTACTTAACCAACAGCAGCAGCTGGACTTCCCCTTGCAAGCACAATAATTAATTAATTAAAATTGAGGAAGACCTACTTAACCAACAGCAGCAGCTGGACTTCCCCTTGCAAGCACAACAATTAATTAATTAAAATTGTGGAAGACCTACTTAACCAACAACAGTAGTTGAACTTGCCCTTACAAACACAACCTAATCTGCTGAAAGTTGCACAAAAAGTCATGCATAGAGTATTGCAAAGCTGCCACACAACTCTTGGCCCAGAAAGCTACTCTTAATTTTACAACTTCCTCCAAATCAACAAAGTTTGCCTGCCCTTAATTGAAAACAATCTCATTCCATAATTTTCATATTTACCACAATACAACCAATGGTACAATCTTCCAGATGCACATAACTTTCTTCTTGAAGCTAGCTCCAGCCCACCATTGTAATAGAGCTTTAACAAAACCTAGAATTACCTAACACGCATCCCACCAGCTCAACATACCAGCCCACACTTTCCAACCCAGTGGGCAGTGAAGAAGAACATGATTGACTAATTCTACTTCATTTCTACAGAAAATACACAGAATACTAGGATTAACATTCAACACCCTAATCCGATGAAGGAAATCTGCTATTTTGACTCTGCCTCGCCACGCTAACCACCCAAAAAACTGCAGTTTTGGAGGTACAACAACCTGCCACAACCATTTGGCAACGCGTAAGTCAGGGCCCCTAATTGCTTGTAGCCACACTCGAACTGGGGACATTGTGAACTGACCCGAAAACTCATAACCAAACAAATTTTCTTACTTCGCATGTCAAATCAAATTTTCAAAACTCAATTATACACTCAAATCATAATTCCACAACTCACAAACTCAAAATACAACTCATACTCTCAAATCATATTTACAAAACTCTACCAAACGCAACCTTAAATTGTTTATCCCGTGAGGGCTGTTATATATATTATTCAAACTAAAATTTAGATTAATTAGACATTGATAGCAATTTGATTAAATTATATTTGTCCAAAAGAAAAAAAAGACTAACATACAATTCCCTTTCTTTTTTACTCTTATAAACGTGAATGTGGTCAAGTGACTAATTATAGAGCTTCTAAATCGAGTAATACTATATAAATAAAAATAAAAAATATATAAAAGGAAAAACAGTACAGAAAAATCAATAACTGCAAAGTAATATGACAAGGCAGTTGAAAATATTTGGTAAATCAAAATTTTATTGGAAACAATCCCTTTTATTAGTCACTGGATATCATAACCCAAGACAAGTGAGATTAAAACTTTTATTTATTTGATGGTTCCGCGTTAGAAACCAATCCAAGGCATGTCCTATGCATGATCTTTTCATAAAACACAAAAGGCAAAGAGTGAATTTCCAGGAGTCCATGTGGGATGGAACTTGGCCAAACCAATTGAATAACCATTCCCAATGTAAATGCATCCATAACTAGCCGAAGCACCACCGTAGATGGTGGCACCCGTGTTATATGACCACAAAATGTGCCCGGTATTGGCATCCATCGCGTAAAGAGGTCCATTGGAAGCCACAGACCCCGCGAAAAGGACACCATTGGTTAGGGTAACAGGTCCTTGGGCAGAGTCATTGCTGGGGTTGGCTGTGGACCATAGGATCTCCCCTGTATTGGCATCCAAAGCCACCCATCCACCGGCTGTGGTGGTTCGGTTAGATGGGGCGAGGGTGAAGTTGAGATTGTCACTGTTGCCTATGTTGGTGTAAATCCTTCTTCCATCTGTGGCTGCTCCCCATGTTCCTCCTCCTCCTTTGCCTCCTGGTCCTGCTAACTGAAAAATCAATTTTGAAAATTATTTTTTTGTAAAACCAGTTTGATGTGGAGAGTGTTTGTGCAATTACCAAGATTAAATTCCAAAGTAAGCCAATTTCGGAGACTTTAAAAGAGAAATGTTGTAGAAACGAAATGACTGTACAAAAAAATTAATACAGAATAATATAACAAATTTGATTTTTTTATTTTAAAGCAAAAGTCACATTAATGTGGTCAGCTGCCAGGGTGATGTTGGGTAGCTCCAACTTTTAGCGACTGAAATTTATTTATTTATTTTTAGGATACTAAACTTAATTGTTATTGATAATATATGATTTCTTGAGATATTTTATCAACTATTTTTCTAGTAAATTTTATTTCTTTAGTAGCACCAGTATTGAGTAGATTTTGTAAAAAATTATTAGTACTAGATCTTGGATGTAGAAATGGTGATAAAAACTCATAAAAAATGAAAAAATTTATTACTTCTTCTATTATTTTATTATTTTTCTTATGTCTACATTAATTAGCAAAATGACCTATTTTTCCGCATACCCAACATCTACGACTCTTTTTTCTTTCTGGATAATAATTATTTTTTTAAAAAAATCTTCTCCTTTTGTTGAAATTATAAGATTTTTTAATATTATTATTATAATATTTTCTTTTATATTTTCTCCTCTTTATTTGTTAATTTTTTTTCTTTTTCTTATTATATGTTTTTCTTCATGAAAGCTCAATATATACCCGTAAAGCTATGTTCAATATAATTTAGAAAACTTTACACGCTTCAGCTGCTACTATGGATATTTAAGACATGGTGCATGCCTCTCTTCCATTATTTTATTGCCTCACTTGTATTTGAAGTACAATTATTGTCTAATAAATATCATGTATTACTTATTGGTTTCAGTGGTACCTCTCTTAAAAATATTTCATTTCTAGGAATAAAGTTTGCATAAGATCCTCTATTTAGATAACTGTAGTGTCTCGTTCTTGTTCTATAATCATAATCTCTAGTATCATTCTTCAATTGTTGTTTGGTAAAAATTTTAAATTTTGGGCGATTTGGATTAGGTTAGAGATGGCAATCGGAACCCGGCCCGACGGGGACCCGATTCCCCGACCCCGAATTGAGTGGTGATTCCCTGAAAAAAACCCCCGACGGGCCGGGGGTGGTATTAAAAATTAAATTCCCGATGATATACGGGCCGGGGACGGGGATACAGATTTCAGCCTCGGACCCGCCCAGATCCCCGCCCTGTTTGCCCCGATGTAAAATTACTAGTTTGCCCTTGTATATATATATATAACATATGTGTGTAGGTAGGGTTTGGTTAAACCAAACCTCAACTCAACTTAGTCCCTTCTATCTTCCTCTCTCTCTCTTCTACTCTTACTCTCGCGCCTCTCCGCGACGCCAATGGTCCTCCTCCGCGTCGTCCTCCGCCGATCGTCCTCCTACTCTATCGTCCATTGCCTCCTCCGTCGTCCTCCTCCGCCGATTGTCCTCCTCCGAACTAGATCTCAGTTTTTTTGAAACAGATTTTGTGTATGTATATAGAATTTTTTTTTGTGTTGTTGAAAAAATTCTGTTTATTTTTTGTTTATTCAGTCCCTTCTATACAGATTTTGTTTACTTAGTCTCTTGTTTACTCGTTCAACAGATTCTGTTTATTGTATGTATTGTTGTGTTGTTGAATCTGTTGTTGAATTTGTTGAATCTGTTATTAAATCTGAGTGTTGTGTTGTTAAATCCGTTGTTGTTCTGTTGTGTTGTTGAATCTGTTGTTGAATTTGTTGAATCTGTTATTAAATCTGAGTGTTGTGTTGTTAAATCCGTTGTTGTTCTGTTGTGTTGTTGAATCTGTTGTTGAATTTGTTGAATCTGTTATTAAATCTGAGTGTTGTGTTGTTAAATCCGTTGTTGTTCTGTTGTGTTGTTGAATCTGTTGTTGAATTTGTTAATGAAGCTCTTTTTCTTTTTTTTTTGGCCGGGGACTCTTCGGGGTCGGGGGAAGCCGATCCCCGTTAGGGGACGGGGGCGGGGGTGGTGACAGGTTCCCCGTCGGGGATCGGGGTCGGGGATCGGGGAAGTTTTGGCCATCGGGGATCGGGGACGGGGACGGGGAGGGTGATCCCCGGCCCCGCCCCGCCCTGTTGCCATTCCTAGATTAGGTGAAGTGGATGAATTACTCCCTTCTTGTTTTACCATTGTCATTTTAGTATCATTAACGTTATTTATTTCTTCAAAATCTTTTAAGGCATTATCTTCTTTATCTTTTTCTTCGTCTTTGAGATTTTTTAGGACATTATTTTCTTTTTCTTTTTCTATCTCACTATTTCCCATTATTTGTTCTAAATCTTCAAGAGGAATGTGCTCCATTTCTCTCAAGCAAATTAGTCCTAATTGTTTATAGATATATTTTTTTAAATTCTATTCCCTTATTATTTATTTCTTCATCTACCATATCTAATTGTTCAGTTATTTGTAATATTATTTTGTATTTTATTTCTTATCATTTTCTTTTTCAACCATTTCTTCTAACTATTTTAAGCTATAGTTATTTAACTCCTTTATCTTTTTCATTTGCAAGTGAAACTAATTCAAAGAGTTCTTTTGGATTATTTCCTTTATATGAATATGGATATAGATCTAATTCTTTTTGTTTTTCTTCAAAAATGGCTACTTGTTTTTCTAGATTTTGTATAAAATGTCTAATTTCGTTTATTATTTCTAATTGATTAGTTCTAAGTTTTTCATTAATTTTTTTAATAGCCTAATTAAGGTATTGTTTTATTCTATTATTGTGTGTAAAGAAATATTATTATTTAAATTGTTAGATTCTACTTCTTTAGTATATTTAATACTCAGACTCTGATACCAATTTCAATTGCGAGACTGCGGATCTAATATTAATTTTTGTAAAAATCTTCATTGATAATCCAAACTTGCATTTTCTAATGATATTTTATTTTTAATACTAGTTATTCTTTGACTATAATTTATTATAGATTGTTCCGAAATAATAGTTAAAAGAAAATTTAATTTATATAACTAATTTTTTAATTAGGAAATATAATCTAAACTATCTTTTACTTCCGCTCTTAATGTTATAATCAATACATATAAGCACTACTTATAAGATTTCACATAACATAATTTCATCTAATATTTTATATTTTTTTTGTAATTTTTCCAATTTACAAAAGTTATTTTGTAATAATTAAAACCTTTAATGATGTGGCTTGATGACTTGGTTTTGATGAGGTGGAGCTTCCACCTGTGTTTGGGTTCAATTTACAAAAGTTATTATACGTTATACTTTTTGATTTGATAATTATTTGTTATTTGTCCTGACATATTTTTTTATTATTATTAATATAATAATACAATAGATTCCACATATATAATATTAATATCTAAGAATCATAAAATTTATTACATCAAATTATGAGCTCATGAGTTGACTTTTTAACTTTTTTTAGTTTGGGACTACAAAGTCTCATTTGGAATAATTTTTTAATTTTTTTGACTTTGTGAAAGAAAAAATAAAATGATTATAAATTAGATGTAATATTTTATCATATTTGACTAAAATAACTTATTTTGTGTTATGTGACTAGTTTAGTCCAAATTTTCTTCCCAAACAAGCTCTATAAAAACAAATGGTCAACCTAGCCTATCAAAATTGTGCAAGGTTATTTTCCTTTATCAAAACAATCCTCATCTTGCCTAAAATTAGAGGAGAAGGACCAAGTTCATTTCAGACATCTTTGTTTGGCTTGAGTTATTTTGGCTTAAATTAGTTAATAATAAAGACAAAATATGTTAATTTAACTAATAACATAAAATGTCACGTTCAAACTATAGCAATTTTATTTTTTCTCTTATAACCATACAATCAACTATAAAAAAAGTAAATTATTCAAAATATAACTTTTTTTGCCAAGTTAAAATAGTAAAAAAAACTAAAAAACTAAACTAAATTAACTCATCCCAAACGGGGACATATAGAACAACTTGTTGGACTTTTGAGTAGGATGCTTTTGGATACCATCTTTCAATTACGTGATATTAATTCAGTTGTTTAATTGTTCTTATCCTTTGATGTCTTCTATCAATTAATGTAGAGAAATGCTCGGGTTTGCAATATATACCGTATGTAATTTTGTCATAATATTATATAAGTTTTACAAATTTACAAAAATGAGTAAATTGAACACAAATTCATATAAATTTATAAAATTATAAAAGTTTTACAAATTTACAAAAATGAGTAAATTGAACACAAATTTATATAAATTTGTGAAAATTTACATACTTTTGTGAATTTAAGTTTAACTTATACATTTTTATGAGATCACTAAGATAAATTCGTAAAAACTTGTATAATTTTATAATAAAATTGTATACGGTGTGCAATGCACATTGAATCTTTTTTTAGTGAAAATACATATAAAACTACATGGTCTCGTTTATTCGCTAAACTCATCCTAACTCGCTTATGATGTATAATAATTTATACTCGTGAGACCAGGTTGGACACATTTTTTTGAAGCTTATAATGTGGGCTGGGCTTAAAAAGAGTGCTTCAAGCTCATCCCATCCACAAATTATATTATATTATATATTATGCTTTTATAGATAAACATATTTATGTATATATATTTTATATGTGTTGTTTAACCTTGTGTATTAGAGCTTGTTTGGGAAGAATATTTAGGCTAAAATAGTCATATATGATAAAATAGACTATTTTAGTTAAATAAGATAGAATGTCACATCTAACCTATAATCATTTTATTTTTTCTGTCACAACAGTCACAAATGTCAAAAAGCTTATTCCAAAAGAGACCTTTTAATCCCAGATTAAAATAGATAAAAAATTAAAATAGCTAAAAAATTAAAAAAACTAACCCATATCCCAAACAAGCAAAAGGAATTGGTCAGAAAATTTAAACTGCCAACTTTGAATAGATTAAAGAGGCATTCAAACCATTAAAGTAATTACCTTTTTTTTTTCTTCTAATTTTAAAATATGATAAAAAATAATTATATTAAATAATATCAAAACCATATGAGCAACAACGAAAACTTTTATTTTATTTTTAGACGAGTTTGAAAATAAAATTTACACTCGGGAGTCAATCTGCTACCTAAATTTGGTGTTTTTGTGATCTAGAGCACAAGATTACCAAATTCATAACATCCATAGTTTGCATCCATCAATGTTATAGATTAAATTCATTTTGAGTGTTGACTATGACACCAAATTTAAAATTTTGTATTCTATATTCATATAGTTCTATTTTGCATCAAATTAAGACTTCAAATCCTATTACAATATCAAAATTGCAAGAATATTATTTTTCTTTATCAAAGCAATTGTCATCGTGCCTAAAATTAGAGGAGAAGGACCAAGTTCATTTAAGAGATCATAGATAGAAGGACTTGTTGGACTTGTAAGTAGGATGCTTTTAGATACCATCTTTCAATAATGTGTTATTAATTCAGTAATTTAATTGTTCTTACCCTTTAAAGTCTTCTATCAATTAATGTATTGGCCAAATACATTATATGATGATAAGACTATATGATCCCGTTAACTTGCTGAACTCGTCCTAACTTGTGTATGATTTATAACAATGTATAATTGTAAGGTCAAATTGAACAAATTTTTTAAAGCTTGACTATAATATATAAATATATGAATTTGAACTGTATGAATTAAATTGATTTTGAGTTGTGACCATGACAAACTCTTACGCTGTGTTTGGTTGGGGGATTTTGGGAGGGATTTGGAAAGGGAAAGGGAAAATGTGTGTGAAACTATGTGAAATGTAGGCATGTTTTTTTCACATTTCACCTACCTTTTCCATTTCTCTTTCCAAATCCCTTCTCAAATTCTTCAACCAAACACAGCATTAGTATTTTATATAGCATACTTGGTTGTGCATCAAAGTGGTGGAATTGTTCCCTTGATTTTAAATCAATAAAGTTTATTCTTTTGTCGATAAAAAAAATAAAAATAAAAATAAAAATAAGGGGGGTGGAGGTGCATTTGTGATCTTGTACCAAAATAAAATAAAATTGTCATCAACTTACCTTGAACCAAACTATATCACCAGTATCCCGGTCCAAAGTCCAAGCAAAGCCGCTCTTCTGAACCGCGACAACCACGTCCCTAACCGTTCCATTAACAAATGCCCGAACCAACATCGGAGCCTCTCCAAAATCAGCATCGATATTCGGGCCGGGTGGACAATCCGGGCTCGTCGGATCCAAACACGCAAAATAAAAAACATCATAGCCCCCAAGTTGCCTAGCCCACTTTACCCTCCCAGAGTCAATATCAAAAGCCAATATCGAATTGAAATTGATACCCGGCCCAATACACTGGTCGGGTTGGGTCGGTTTGGTCTGATTGTTTTGCTTGGCTTGGCATTCCAACACCGCTGGTGGAGCAGTATAGAGGTTGCCGGTAGCGGCGTACACGAGTCGCCGCCGTGTGTCGATGGAGGGGCTGCTTCCCCAAATGGCCGCACCGGAGTATGCGTTTAATTTGCCACCATTGTCGGGGAGAGTGTAGGTTTGCCACAAAATTGCACCGGTTCGGAGGTCCAGCTTTGCTAGGCTGCCCCGGAATGAGCAACATTGGCCTGCTGGTAAGGTTTCTTCTAGTGATGACACTCCAACGATAAAAGCCCTGAACCCAAAAAAAAGAAAAACAAGTTATTTTAGGAAAATTATTTTATTTTATTTTTAAAATCTATAAAAAAAAAAAATGGACTAATTTGATGGCATAAAACAAGCACTTTATATAAGAAGTTATTATTTTATTTTATTTTATTTTTCACTTAGGTGTGGTTTAGAAATATGTCATTTTAGTAAATTTTATCTTTTTATGAAAAAAATATGAAAAAAAAATAAAAAGAATGATATGATAACTTATAATAACTTTTTGAGTTTTTAACCAAAATTGAAAATTGACCAGCCTTAGTGTTGGTTTGACATAAACTAAACAATTTAAAAAGTCAAAAAATTCATACTATTTGAAAAAAGCTTGTGGGAGAAGTCTAGATGTTTTAAATTACTCCCTCCGTCTCAAAATATTAGTCCCTTATTCCATTTTTCATTGTCCCAAAATATTAGTCCCTCTTTATAAATCAAGTACAAAAATAATGTAAATTTCCTATTTTGCCCTTCTTTTAAATTAATAAACAATTTAAAAAGTACAATTATGACATTGATATTCCCAAAAAATGTACTATCAAAAGGGTAATTTTGGAAAACCAACTTTTTTCAAATGCAATAAGTGTACTCTCAAAAAAAGTTGGATTCCCCAAAAGGGACCAATATTTTGGGACGGAGGGAATATTATTTTGAAAGCTTGTGGGGGAAGCTATAAGACAAAATTATTATTTTGCCCTCTGCATTTAACAATCTAAAAGTCAAAAAGTCAACAAGAGTAGAATGGTCATTTCAATTTTACTACAATATTTTATTACACGTCTTTTCGTAAAAAATCAAAAAATTATCTTAAACATTCATCTTTTTTCTTTACTTTTTTAACTAAGAAATCAAAAAGTACATTTATTGAGAACATCCCAACACTTACTTAGGCCTCGTTTGGAACAGGCTAATTTAGTAACTTTTTTGTTATTTAACTAAAATATGAACTAAAAAAAACTAGTATGTTTGGGATAACTTTTTAACTCTTTACGAAAAGATGTGTAAAAAGTAGAGAGAAAAGAGAATTTTTGACTTTTTGATATGGGTTGTTGGCTTTTTGACTAATTTAGTAACTTTTTGACTTTTTAACTAAAATGGAAGGTTCCAAACGTGGCCTTAGGCCCCGTTTGGGGACTTGTTTTTTTAGTCAATTAACTAAAAAGTTACTAAATTAGCCAAAAAAACCAACAACTCATACAAAAAAGTCAAAGATTCTCTTTTCTCTCTACTTTTTGCACATCTTTTCGTAATTAGTCAAAAAATCATCACAAATATACAAGTTTTTTTACCTATATTTTTAGCCAAATAACTAAAAAATTACTAAATTAGCCTGTTCCAAACGAGGTGTTAATGTCTAAAAGGTTGATTGAAATTGTGGAGTAATTGAAGGGGCAATAATGGCAACGAGAGAGAGTACTAACCCCATATGAACTGTTCCTGATGCAGTTATCAGTGCAAAAGGATGTGGGTCTAGCTGAGCCGACCAGACCAGATTTCCGGTTAACCGACACACCGCAATCACATACGCAGGGCCATAGATTGCGATGATCAAGAGGTCGCCAGCGATCGTTGGCGTGGCTCTTGACACCGATACGTTCACTATAGTCCCAGTTGCACTCAGCCCAGTCAGCTCGCCAACGTTCTGTTTCCATATCAGTGCACCATTGAAAGCATTCACTGCATAAACATACCCATTCCATGATGGGAAGTAGACTACTCCATTGGCCACCGCCGGAGTCGCAGATATGTCTTTTCCGGCAAAGAATTTCCATCTTAAATGTAGTTTTGAGACAGTTTTTGGGTTGATCAGAAGTTCTTCTTTGGCATACCTAGTGTTACCTATGTCTCCTCCATGATTACACCACTAAAACCATAAAAAGAAAATAATGGTTATCGTAAGAAAACCCTAAAAATAATAATATGACATAAATATATTAGGACTAAGGAGAGACCAATGATTTTTTCTGTCCTCTTTCAAAACACTTGTAATTATTAGATCATGTGAAGATGTAGAGAAATATGTAATGAGTGGGAGTGTTTTGAGACAAAAGAATAGAAGATTTTTGAACAAAAAATCTTATATCATCTAAGAAAGGAAAAATCTAATAATATATAAACCGATCACAAAACTGAATATAACAATTTTCTGATTGATTTATTATAACTGGAAAACTGTACGAGAAAAACTAGCCCTTACCTCTGCAACGGTATGCAGACACAACATCATGAGCAGGATCACAAGAAGACCATGATTGTGTGTAAAAGCCATTGCATGAAGTACTTTATCAAGAGATGAGAAAGCAGAATCGTACTTATAGTTGGTTAAAAAAAGTATGAACATGAGTTGGTGCAATGTTTTATAGGCATAATATCGTGGTGTTGTGAATCTTTAAAAGCGTGTTTAAAATTTATTTTAATAATTTGAATTGTTCATAATATAAGATTTGTTGAATAGATTATTTATGAAAAAATTTAAATTAATTAGACATTTCTAAATCCACAATAAAACCACGTTTATGTTTAGGAAAAATAAATGATTAACATGATTTTAATAATTTTTTAAAGTTATTATACGGTTTGATAATAAGATTATACTTATCCGATTAAATTCATTTTTTTATATAAATGATATACTCAACGAACCCAATAATATAAACGGTTCAAATTATTAAAATATGATTTGAATAAACCACCTAGAGTAACACAGCACCCACCTCCAATACCTACGTTTTTGGTAGCTCTCATTTTTGGAATTTTATTTAATGCATTCTCACTTGTCACAAATTGAAGTCACCTTTTTCTGGTGTATTTATTTTATAGTGATTTTAAAATGATAAGATTAAAGCTTTTGAGTTTAAAAATGATTATTGCATTCTTAAGTATTTAAAAATTTAAATTCAGACATCTACCATACCAGTTTAAGATTATTTGAAAAAAAAAAAAAAATCACTTTAGAATAGTTCTATACAAATAAAATTAATATAGAATGGTGTGATAAATGTTGATTTTACAATTTGAAAACATAATACCCCATTAAGATAGCATATACTTTCAAAATTATCTATAAAACTTTTGTACATAAAATTAATATTTGATTATTAGAGGATCTATAACTTCTTTTCAATTGGAGAGAAATTTAGTTCAGTATTGCTAGGCCTGTGAGGTCCATTTTGGATTCTATTATGGTGATTTGAGTTATTCATTTTTAAGTCTATGTGTGTAAACCGTTCATGAAAATAATTAGTTGAATCTAATAATTGTAATTACATAATTTCATTAGATTTATCTATAAAAAAAAAAATTCAAAAAAAAAATTAGTCTATTTGAAAATCATAATTTTCATTCATTTGTTTATTTTTCATTTATTTGACGACAAATCTAATTAAAATTATTTAGTCATGATTAATGGCTTGATTTAATATCTTTTCATAGATGAACCCATATACATTGACCTAAAAAATGAACGACTCTAATGTGGGGGGTGTGCCAAATGTGATGATGACCTAAGCAATGGGGCATGTGAAGCGGTTACTGCATGCGCATCTTGAAGAGCATGGCGGTCTAGTGTATATAAGGTTAACCATCATCCTCTTTGGAAAGACATTCTAGTCTCACTACAAAAATATTCTCTTTATATCACCTTCTCTCTATTCATTCCTAGGTTCCTTATTTTTTTAAAAAGTGAATAGTAAAGTTTTCAAAATATTTCCATTTAAATAATATTTAACAAATGTACCATACATGTATGTTTTAAATAGATTTTATTTTGTGTCAAATAATATGTATATTAAAAAATCTAAATTTTGGCAAATAATATTTTAGACATCATCAAAATTAAACAATATGATTAACAATAATTGTTAGAACAAGTACCCAATGCCTCGTATAGATGATTTGTTTGATCAATTGAAGGAGTCTTGTTACTTTTCTAAGATAGACCTGAGATCGGGTTATCATCAGTTGAGAGTAAAGGAAGAAGATATTCTGAAGACAGCATTCTGTACGCGGTATGGCCATTATGAATTCCTGGTGATGCCCTTTGGGCTCACCAATGCACCAACTGTGTTCATGGACTTGATGAATTGAATCTTCCGCGAGTTCCTAGACCGCTTTGTAGTCGTCTTTGTGGACGACATCTTGATTTACTCACCCTCTGAGGAGGAGCACAAGGGATACTTGTGGGTAGTACTTGAGTTACTTAGAGCCCACAAACTCTATATTAAGTTTGGGAAGTATGAATTCTAGCTAAGAGAAGTTAAATTCTTAGGCCATGTAGTATTTGGGAAATGGGTGACTATAGATTCATCCAAGATAGAGGCAGTGCAAGATTGGGAGCGTCCTAAGAATACTTTTGAGATCCGTAGTTTTTTTGGGATTGGCCAGGTATTACCGTCGGTTTGTGAAGGATTTCTCTAGATTAGCCTCACTGTTAACTAGACTGACGAGGAAGGGAGTTAAGTTTGTGTGGAATGAGACTTGTGAGAAGTCTTTTCAAGAGCTTAAGGTTAGACTTATCACTGCTCCAGTATTGATTATTCCGGCGAGGGGTTTGGGTTATTCGGTGTATTGTGATGCTTCGCGGGAAGGTTTGGGTTGTGTATTGAAGCAGGAGGGAAAGGTAGTAGCCTATGGCTCGTGGCAGTTGAAAACTCGTAAGAGAAACTACCTTACTCATGACTTAGAGTTAGCAGGGGTGATCTTTGCCTTGAAAATTTGGAGGCATTACCTGTATGGTGAGAAGTTTGAAATTTTTTTTGATCACGAGAGTCTAAAATATCTATTTACACAGAAAGACTTGAATTTGAGGCAGAGGAGGTGCATGGAGTTTATAGAGGTTTATGACTTCGAGCTACATTATCATCTAGGAAAGGCCAATGTGGTGGCCGATGCCTTGAATAAGAAATCTATTGGTAGTGTGGCCAGTATTGCCATCTGAGAATGGAAGATATTGGGTACCCTTAGGGAGTTTGACTCGCTTTTTTGCAAGTCCATTGAGTCGGCTGTCACGACCCAAACCCGCCCTTATAGGTTTAGCGTCGTAACCGACCAGTAATCCTAAGATTACCTACAGCCTCTGAAACAGAATCACAAAATAAGGGGCTAGCAGAAGCAAATACATAAATATAATCGTCCAATGAGTTGTGTTGACTTATATGAAACAGATATTTTTAAATTCATATACAATGTTCGAAAGTCATTCTTATATTATACCCACACACATTATAGTCAAAGCAAGAAGAGATTAAACCCCATATACAAAAACTTGTCTTAAACCTTAACAAAGAAAACAAGAGTAAAATCAATCACATGGTTGACTTATAACAGAACACAAATCCAGACAAAAGTCTTCAGGCTTGATCTCCAGAATGCTCACCTATACATATATATACACACAGTGAGCTAAAACCCAGTGAATAACATTAATGTAAAGAGGTTAGTGAACGAATTCCAAACATATCATATTCATAAACAGATCATAACAGAATCAATTCTCATATTCGAACGTAATAATGGTGCATCCAATAGAACATATCACATCGTCATCCGACTAGAGTAATCGGTTCCGGATACCGATTAAACACATTTTAACATGTAAAAGCTTTCATGGCCATTCCAAACTCATGGAAACACTTTGATAATCATAAAAACATTTTAGAAAACTCAAATACAAGATGATTTACAAATCATTTGCTCAAAACCTCTTGAATTTTCCAAAATTAAGCTCAAAAGCTCTTGCATGTAAGAAATTCCTTTTCAAAACACGAGTTTAAATGGTAAAACAAGATGATTCAAACATGCATGTGCCAAATAACTTACAATAACAATTTATATACTCAAAACCAAACTCAACATGACAAAACTCCATATATATATGCATGCATGTGGAATTCTCTTCCAAATTCTTTTTCAAGACTTCAAAAACATGGAATTGACTGACAAAACTTGGTGAAACATGCATGCATGTACATTTCATCCTCCAAATTCAACACAAATGATGAAACTCATATCTAACATGATGATTTAACACCTACATGAGCATACATATGTGAATTACAACCTAATTCTTCATTCTAAGCTCAATTTACACATTTAAACACATAATATTCATGTTTTTCTCATGTTTGATAGCTTAGATTCATAAATTAGAGGTTGAGTTCTTACCGAGAGTCTTCAAACACTCTAGTTCTAACACAATCTTGAAGAATTCAAGCCAAAGCCTTCAATTTCTCTTAAAATCCTACACTTTCTCTCTCTAAAAGTGAACTCACTCTCTCTCTCTAGAATGCAATCTTAGATTTTTGCACTCAACAATGGGCAAAGATGAACTCAAATGAGCTTAAGGGTCATGTTTATATAGTTGTAGTGGCTTAATACAATAATTAAAACATTTGGCCAACCAAATATAACTTAATTAATTAAACTGAGTCAGTTTTTAATAAAATTTGTCATATGAGTCTAAAAATTCCGATTGATGTAACCAATTTCAGTTTCAGATGCCGATAAGGCTTTCAATTTTCAGATCAAAGCAGAATTCTAGACAGATATTTCTATGAGTAATAGATAGGAAGCCAAATAGCATACAAAATACACAATAAACACATTATTTATTTTAATCACTTGATTAACGGTCTTAATTACGGATTAGTAATTAATTATGGATCGGGGTTGTTACAAAACGAGTCGAGCTGAGCTGAGTCGAACCCTTAATGAGTCCAGCCGAGCCTCTTCGTGAATTGTTCCATTAATTTGAAGCCCTAAGTTCTATTATGCCATAACTAGTATAATTTATTATTTTAATATTAATGACCTGCTTGGTAACCTGCTAAACAAAATACCTTGAAAATAATTTATGTACTAGAACCGCATATATGCATAACAAAAATCATAATAAAATTACATAATTAATAGCACAAATATATATAAGCATTGCATATCATATATATAGCACATTTAAGAAATTTTTCCTTTCTCAATTGTTTATTGGTTGAGATTTGTTTTTCTAATAATTTTTTTAGTTTTTTGACTTTAAAAAAAAAAAAATACCCAATGACTTTTTTTTTTTTAAAATGAGTGAAACAATTGATATGATATTTAACTTTAGTTTTTATCTAATTTTGGAAAGTCTCCAAACGCCCCCTATTTAAATTTTTACCATTACATTAAAAATTCTCAATTGTTTATTGGTTGAGATTTGTTTTTCTAATAATTTTTTTAGTTTTTTGACTTTAAAAAAAAAAAAATACCCAATGACCTTTTTTTTTTTTAAATGAGTGAAACAATTGATATGATATTTAACTTTAGTTTTTATATAATTTTGGAAAGTC